TTCCCCCCCCCCCCAGGAGCTGGGGCCATCTGGTGGCTGCTGGTCCCACTTGTCTTGGTTGGTACTGCTCACTCCTGGGTCTTCTGCTAATAAAACCACATCTGTGGCTCACGACCAAGCAATGCTCCCAGGAGGCAGCACCACACACTGGTCCTCAGCCAGCTTCACTGGTGAATGGGGAGGGATTGTGAACACTCCCCTGGAGAGGGGAAGAAGAAATGTGAGAGTCCTCAGGGCAGCAGAAGGGAGAAGCTCACTGAAGACACAGAGGCTGGGGGTGTCCAGATTGAGGAGAAACTGAGGTGTCTTAATGTGGGCCAAAGTCAAACCCTTCTTTTGCAAACAAAGACTAAATATAAGTTGTTCCAGCAGGCAGCTTATCTGGCCTCGTGCTCTTTCTGTTGGAGTGGGCCAGTAAAGGTGTCAGACTGGTCTGGCAAATGGAGAGATGTTCCTCCTAGCCCTTGTTGTCCTCATGCAGCTGTGGGGTTGGCAGAGAACAGCTGGCACATCAGCAGCACTGACCTGGAAACCTCTGACACCAGGAGCTCCCAGCGGGCCTTGAAGACCAAGTGGGCCCTGAGAAGAGAAGGAAAAGCTTTGGTGAGGAGAAAATTCAGGGCCAGGTAAGTTACTTGTGTAATTAAATTGGCTCATTCCTAATAGAGTGTGCAGCTCTGGGAATGCCCAGTGGCATTGCTGAGGAACCTGGTGAGCCCTCTAGGGTGGTCCTGCAGGGCCCTTTGAGAGCCTGGCTCACGAGGCAGAACATGAACCTGACCATCAGGAGTCTCTGTTGCCTTCTACTGAGAAAAACCACACGTGTGACAAAGAGCTTTGGGGAAAAAAAAAACCCAAAGAAGTAATTTAGGCATCTAAATCCCATTTTGTAAAATGTCCTCTTGAAACAGAAGCTGTAGGCAAACCTCTGTCACAAGGTGTGATCTGAGCTTTGTCTCCTTTCACAGATTTCTCTGCTGGGTGTTAAGGGACACAAGTAAACTTCAAAGTGGCTGCCCCAGGCAGAGGATCAGTCAGCACAGACTGTCCCATGTACCCAAGAAACCAGCTGTCTACTGGCTTGAAGATGTGTTAAAATATCATCTGTATTTTTCCCTTAAGTATTTTTTCCCCTAATTTTTAGCCCTACAACCTCTCCTTAGGATCTGAACAAGCACCATCTCTTCATTTTTTTCAGGTTGTCATGGAAGAGGAGGTATTTTTGTGGTTCCTGTTTCCACTTCTGCTTTCTGCTTGTAATCCAGTAAGGAACTTTGAGAGTTACCAATAGAGCTCTAGGAAAGTGATGTTAAATTCCATCAGAACTTATTTTGCTGTGTTGGTGCTTTTAAAAGTGGTGGGACCTGCTAGAACCTGGCAGCCTCTGAGTGGGACAAAGCCCTTGGAATGCTCTGCTGAATAAAGTCACCTTGTTTTGAGGCCAACAGCCTTAACACTAGTCAAATCCTGCAGGATTTAAGCTCAGGTTTAACTCTATTTCATATAAACTTGAAAACCAGAAATTAGAAACCCAGGTTGGAAATAAACTGGGGCTCAGGTCAGAAATCTGCCCCAACACCATTAGCTCAGCTGCACTGGAGTTTGGGCTGTAATAATCTCACACCTTTTGTGGGGCTAGCTATCTTGGTGAAAAATGGCAGGCATCAAGGCAAATATTATTAATTGAGTTTATTTCTAAGGCTGATTTCCCTCTCCTTGGAAGTTTAAGGAGCAGCTGCTCACAAACAATAAACCATCATACAGTTCCATTTCTTCTAAGGGGCTTCTCAATTGTAAAATGAGATTAAAATGGAGAAAAAAAGAAAAGAACTCCCAGCAAAACCCCTGGGAGGTCAGGTCCAACCACAACAGCAGCACTGGGGAAGAGGGATGAAAGAAAAGGTATCCTGGCGTTTTTAGCAGTCTGAATAAAATCAGATTTTTTTTATCCTGGGCTCAGTCATTATCAGCAGAGACACACCAGCAGCTCTGCAGTTATTTTCAGGTTTGCATCCCAACTCCAGTTTATTTCTCAGGCTTTGGGATGATGCAGGGGGTGCAATGAAAGCAGGAACAAGATGCTCCACTGGGCACCCCAAGTGGTTTTTAACCCAGAAGTTTCAAAAAGTTGTGAGTCCAGAGTAAAAGTGAAAACAGAGGTAGGTAGGGGGGTTGATTCTCTGAGCTCCCAGTGAGATAATGCTGCTGCAGTACTGGGTGGGAGAAGGAGAAGTGAGAAGTTTTCAGGTGAGGAATCTGTTCAGGCATTGCACTGTATGGTTGGGAATTTTGGGGCATTTTCAAGCAGCTGGAAAAGGCCACCAGTACCTGGGAGAAAGGCAAGTGATTCCCAGCAGGTCCACCAGCTTCTTGACACCTCACAGCCCCCCCTTTCACCACGGCAGTGTGCAGACTGTCCAGTTTTGTTGCCTGCACAGGTTTTGCAGTGCTCAAACCTCTGGTGCTCCCAGTGACAGAGGAGAGATTTTGTTTCCCATGCTCAGTGTACGTTGCAGTAACTTTTGCTTCATCAAGGACTCACGTGCAGCACAAGCTGACCCTGACTGTTGCTGGCTGCTGACTGTCCAGTCTCTGTCTGACTGTAGCAGCTCCACAAACCTCTTGGCCAACTGCAGTTTTGTCAAACAGGAGGAATCCCTTTGTGCTTGCAGGGAGAGCAGGATCTGACCCACTTAAGGGTCACATTCTCTGTTCCCCAAACTCCCCAGACACAATACCAAGAGAGAATGTGGCCTTTTACTTCAGCCAGACCACAATCCCCACAGACTGAACTCTATTTTGGGATCTATTTGATTGACAAGCAGCGTTGTACTTACAGTTGCTCCTCTGGGTCCTGGCAGACCTCTCTCACCAGGAACACCAACATCACCCTGCCAATGACACCAAAGTCAGCCGTGCCAGTTAGGAGCCACAGATCCACCCTTCCCAACCCCCTGCAGAGCCAGGACGTGTTCCTGGAGCCCAGGTGAATTCCATCCCAAGCTCCCTGCCCCAACTAGGTCGCACCACCCCACTTGGATGGGCTTGGGTGGGCTTGGACCTCTGCTGCAGCACAACTGCTGTGCATGGAGGTGTCCACCCATCCAGCTCCACGTGAGCTTGGGGCTGCCTGGGGCACTCAGCATCATGGGCTGGTGGCACTGGAGGCTGCAGAGCTCCTGGTGCAGTGCTGGAAGGTTTATTTGGGCAGGGAGGCTGGTGGGGATACGTACAGGGATGCCTGGCTCTCCAGAGGGACCTGCCTCTCCCATCTCTCCAGGACTGCCCTGCAGAGAAGAAAGCAACACTTAGGGCATAACTTCAAAAAACAAATGGAGGAGGGAGTTAAAATTCAGACTGGGAAATAAAAACAACTTTAAACTTTGGCAGTTTTGAGATCAAGACAACAAAACCCCCAGGAACAGAAGAGCAGGGGGGCTGCCAGCCCCAGGGCATTGCCACCATATCCCAGCTCAGAGTGAAGGGAACCAGGGGCACAGGGAGGCATGCTCAGCACACCCTGTTTCCTTCATCCCTGCATCACTTTCTGCAAGGAGAAACACCCTGCATGTTTTCTGTGTTCTTCAAGGTGAAAAACCTTCCTGCAGCGTGCAGAGGGATCAGCAAGAGTAAAGATGCAGGTGCAGAGAGAGAAAATTCAGGAAGGAAGGGGAGGGATATGAAAAAAGATGCTTTCCAGACCAGCTTTGTGCTGGACTGCTTTGGTCTGAGACTTTATCTTGCATGTAGGTGCCAATCTAAAGCTCCATGGAAGCTTTCCTCCTGAGCTGGGTGGAAAGTCTCCAAAGGGCAAGAGGAGATAATGCTGCTCCTGCTTGCAGATGCTCAGCCTTTTGATTCCCAAAGATGAGAGCTGCACTTGGAACTTTGACAAGAGGGTGAATGCAAGTCCTCCCAGGGTCTCCTTGTGGGCACCAGTCCCCCAAAGCTGAAAAGCCTTGCTGTGACAAGGTCAGCAGCTTCCACACCAGAACCCATCATTAGGGAGATTCACTTACTGGTTCCCCTTTGGAGCCTTTAAAACCTGCTCTTCCAGGCAGTCCCTGAAAAAAAAAATGTAAAAGCAATGTCAGAAGTTATTCAGTTTGTTATTCTGGTCTGATTGGAGCTAGAAGAGGTGGAGGATTTACATATCTGCAGCTTTCACCATGAAAATGATGACTTTGGTTTCTCTCTTGTTCACTAATCCTCAGAATTCAAACAAAGAGGAGGAATATGCAAACAGAGCAGCAGGAGCAACATTTTGCATAGCAGAAATCTCTCTAGGGGTGTTTAAAATAATCTGTGAGATGAGAAGAAAGGAACACTTTACCTCTGTTTAAATAGTTGGAAGGCTGGAGAGATGAAACATTTTGCCAATGAGCCAGGGACAGAGCTCAGGCTACTGTTGAATTATGGTCATTTGTACTCCAGATTTTACCTCCCTGCATACAGGATGCATGTTGCTGGGACCTGACAGAGAAAATCCCTCTCAAATTCAGATTTTAAACAGAGCCAGAGTGGCCAAAAGCCAGGGAACTGCTGTACTAGTCTTTGGTCCTACTCCAGATGTCTTCTGCTCTGCTGTGCACTGCTCCTCTGTCTGTATGATAGGGAAAAGAGCATTTCCTCCTGGCTTAAACGAGGCCCCTTGTGAGGCAGTGAGCACAAGGAAGATCTCCTCTCCCCAGGAAGGATCTCTCTCTGCAGGCCAAGCTGCTGCCATACTCACAGGGAGTCCGTTTGGTCCCTTCTCTCCAGGAGCACCCATGCGAGCTGCATCACCCTGTGGATATCAAGAGGTTAGGAGGGACCCTCCAGCACTGCAGAATGGTCTGGCACAGGCAGGGGACACAGCCCCAAACAGGCAGTTATAATCTTTCCCCCTCCCCACGTGTGCAGGACCAGGAACCTGTTGGGTCTACAGGAGGTGGGCACCAGAGCTCCCAGGAGCTCCAGGACCTTGCCTGGATCCACGTTCCTGCAGGATCACCAGGCAACTGGTATCTGACAGCACTTTGTCTACAGGCAATTAAAATCAACAGACGTGTCTGTCAGCAGCTCTGAGAAGGCATCTCTGAAGGCATCTCTGAAGGCCTCAAGTCAGCCAATGGGAACCACTGAGTAGAGGGACACAGCTGAGTTTAGATCACATCTGCATGGCCCATATGTGCATCTTCTTTCTTTAGGGAATTCCCTTGGGATTAATTAAGAGAGGCAACTTCACTCTTCACCACTAGCTACACTACTGGAGAAGTTTTTAGAAACAGAAACCTTCCCTGCAGTTTAAGTAGGACTCTACAAACCTTCTCACCATCGAGTCCAGGGGCTCCATCCCGTCCATCCTTGCCAGGCATGCCCTGCAACCACACACAACACAGGGCAAGGGCATCAGGGGACTCTGCTTGCCAAAATACATTCACATCAAAGAGCCTTTTGGCAATGGGTCCAGCTCCAAGGGCACTGGGAGATTTGTCACCAAGAGCAGTACGAGCAGGGTTTAGTCCAGCTGGGATTACACTGAGGGCTGGAGACCCACAGAGCAGAAGTTTGATAGCAAAGATGCAAGTTTTTTCCTATTGTTTTTTATCTCATCATCTGCAAGCAAGACAACAGTGAGATGTGCACCCCAATTAATTGACTTACAGGTTCTCCTAGGAGTCCACGAGCCCCTGGGTTGCCTTTTGGTCCAGGTTTACCCTAGAAACCAACAACAAATCCTGTGTTATCCATGACACAGCCCTTAAGAGCAATCAGTCAACAAAGAGACTACTCAAACTCTGCAGAGTCTTTTCATTTGGTTCCTGCTCCTGTAGCTGTGGGGCTTCTCTCAGGACACAAAACTGGCTGCAGCAGCTGAGGAAATTCTTGACTGCTTCCAGGGCTGGAGGGGTAAGATCTGAGCCACGTCCTCTGTGCTGCAGCAGCACTGAGACACCTTGAGCATCTTGAATAAAACCTACCAATCTCTTTTTTGAGAGGAATATTTTCATTCCTTTCACCCCCCTTTCAAATAAACCAAGAGGGGACAAGCCACAATAACCCTGTGGAGGGGACTCCTTCGAATGTCACCTCCAAAATCTGAGCAGAGGGATGTTTTCCTGCACTTACAGTATCACCTTTGGGCCCCCTGAATCCCTGAGGTCCTTTGTTTCCTGGGCTTCCCTGTAACAGAGGAGAAAAAGCCATTAAGCATCTTCATCACAGAGTGACAGAGGGACGTTTGGAGGGTGGGATGATGAAGGTTTGGGGCTGTTTGCTGGTTAGCAGAGGTGTGATTGTACAACCCCCCCAGGAGCTGGCTGTGCTTCCTCAGTTCCACTCTGTAATTCCTGACACACAGATGGATTGCAGCAAGGACTTTGCCAACAATCCCACGGGGCAGAAACCATCTTCCCCTTCCTTTAATGAAGTATTTTCTTTACCCAGAAACAGAACGAGTGAAAAACTTTAATATTTACTGCCTAGTAACTTGAATATTTACTGTCTAGATCCTGCTTGGCATCATTAAACGTTCAGTGGACAGTAAGAACCTCATTTTATTTTAGTCCAGATGAAGTTCTTCTATAATGGCAAAGACTCAGGAGGGGTCCCCAGAGGGTGGTCAGTGCAGATGGTGTAGGCAGATGAAGGTCCCTGCTATAGAGCAGATGTTATATTATCCACACAAAGGAGACACTGGGTGGCAGGAAAATGCTCCTAGAGGGGCCACAATGCTGCAGATGCAGCTCAGGTCTCCTATTTGGGCACAGGAAGGAGTGTGAAGGGGCCTGCCCACGGGCAAGCGTGAAGGTTCAGTGTTCTCCCACACTTCACCCCAGAGCTCTGCAAAAGGATGAGGATCACATCTTGAATACACAGCTACTTCTGCTGGCAGCAAAAGCCCTCGTGAGCTGTGAGGACTTGGGCACAGATCAGGCTCAAAGGACATAAGCTGAGCACAGAGCTCACTGATTCCTCCTCAGAACTCTCCTTCCCCAGAACAGCTCAGGTGCCCCTTCTCGAGGGGCTCTTCTCTCTTCCCACAGCTGCTCAGGGAGGAGCAGTGAGGAACAGAGAGCAATGGAAACGTGGTGAACTCATTCTGGCATGGGGCCCAGCTGAGGGCAAGTCACCCTGAGATCTGGGTGGGGTGAAATAACACCCCTGTAACTAGGGGGGGGAAAGGGAAAGGGAACAATGCACCAGCCAGCCCCCTCCTCCTGTCCACTGGCAGCCCAGAGCTCAGTGCCAGAGGAAGAAGCTGCAGGCTTTGGCTGGGGAAGGCAGGGCCAGGGAGGTGCTGAGCAGATACATACAGCTTTCCCTGGAGGTCCTGGGATCCCAGGTGGCCCTCTGAAGCCAATATCACCCTGCAAAGAATAACAGAGGGCTGTGAGGCTGGGGTTGGCAGAGGGTGAGGTAACAGTACCCCCACCCTACACCACGAGCCCAGAAACCACAAAAGCCCTGGAAAGACACCACAGACCTCCTGCTTGTTTGCAATACAGCCTTGCAAACAATCCCCCTCTCAACAAGCAGGTTTTCACTCTCCCCACCATTCTCTGTGATACACTGGCATCATTCATGGCCTTGCTATCTTGATAACACTTGTTCCTAAGTAAATGCATGACTTCATCAAATTCAAAACCATTCAGCCTCTAGGCTGATGGTCAAGGGACCTTGGCAAAAGTCCAAAACCACAATGAGCTACAGATTGACCCTGTTCTCACTGAGGAGACTTTACACGTCCTGAAAAATCTTTGTGCACCAAAGCATTGTCTTTTTCTTGTAAAGAGACAAAATCAAAAGGGAAATGTGAAAAAACAAAGGAATGTTTCATGAACAAGTGTCCTGAGCATTGTGAGTCTTGCAGGGACAGAAGTTTGTCCTTCTGGTCTGAATGCTTGAATCAGGCTGGGCCTGATCCTGTTGATCCCTCAGGTATGTAGACTCCTCCTGCCTTTGGAAGGGTGCAGGAAAGAGCCTGCTCTCTGTATCTCTACAAGTTTCCCAGTGGTCCCCAGTAAGGACAACACCACTTGGGCTGTGCAGGAGATAAACTGGTGGTGGAGGGTGGGGGGTATCAGAAGGTTTTTCTTACTCTGTCACCAGCTGGACCCACTGGACCAGGGAGGCCTCTTAGTCCTCTTGGGCCCTAATTAAAAAAAACAAATCAGTTAAAAACCAATTACTGTTAAACACAGAATGGCAGAACAGCATGATGCAGCAACTTGTCAACACAGAAAACACTAAGGAACAGTGAAGAGTGGCACAAAGCTCAGCCGCCTTCTCAACAAGACACTTTACCCTTCAGTGAGGGCCTCTGAGCAGGTGACATTGTGGACACACCCCATGCAGACGTGTGTCCAGGGTGCCTCCTCTCTCCAGCCCACCTCCCAGCCTGTCAAACCAGCCCAGAGCTCAACTCCAGATCCACCCAAAAGGTGCCCAGGGCCCCAGAGGAGTGGCTATTGCTCGGATGTCCCACCCAAGGTGAGGTGCCAAAAGCAGGACCTGAATTAAACCTCAGTGAAACCAGCACAATTTGTTTTTTTCACCAGCATTAGCTTTCACTTCTGCTTTTTTATTCTGCAGAGGCAAGAGCTGTTTGTGTAACACCAGAGGACTGAAGGCACCACTGAGTTTCACAGGAGAAAGGTCATGGGAACTGGCCTGAAGAGTAGGTGTTACCTGCAGGCCAACGCTGCCAGGGATGCCTGGAGGACCAGGAGGGCCAGGGTTACCCTGGGAGAGAAAAATTAATTAGACAAGATGCAGCACAAGCCTGCCAACACAAAGCCAGGGACCTTCCCATCTTACTTCTTCTTGAGCTCCCTCCCACCCAGATTTGCTTCTACATTACAGGCAATTCTGTGTGCAAGAACATGGATCAGTCAGGAGTCTCCCTGAGGGATGACTGCAGGGCTGTTCCCTGGGCTGACCTCTCTGCAGGGTCACACATGCTGAGCAGAGGAAGCCAATGCACCTCAGCCAGAGTAACTTCTTGTTCAGCCCATTGCCTCATTTCTGCCTTCTTGAAGAAATCATTCATCATGGTGTTTTTAAAGTGAAAGACCCCTTTTAATGGAAGGTTACCTTCTCTCCTTCTTTCCCTGTTTCACCAGGTTCTCCTTTATGCCCAGTATGTCCCTAGAAACAAGAGCTCCAATTATTCACATTCCAGTGCAGTCCTGCTTCAGAACTTAAATTTTGTGAGATAGCTCCAAGACTTAAACCCACACAACAGAAATGGCTTCCTGGGAAGGAAAGGCCCTGTAGATCATCTGCATCATAACTGGAGACCTTCACAGGTTTTTTTTTTCCATTTCACAAGCTATGAACTTTGAATAGTTATACCCTAAACATTGTGTATGCCTAATGATGTCTATGACTCAGCTCAGAAACCAAAGAGACCTGCAGGAGGTCAGTTCATGAGGCATTGAGAGCAGCTCCCAGGATGTTTTCCACCCAGTGCCAACTTCTGCTGAATCCTGCTAAAAAAACTTGAGGAACTTGTACCTTCAGCTCACTGCTGGAGTGTAACCTACTGCACAAAACCCATGGGAATCACAGAGGGGACACAGAAGGAGATGTTTAACTGCTGACTGAGGTTTCCTGAGGGTTGCAACCTAGAATTTATGTACCAGGATCAAGCACCATAAACAGAAAGCTGCCTGGTGCTCCACTGGGTAAAAAAAAATTACAATTAAACTGTATTTAATCATCTAAGTTATGTCTTGCTACAGTCAATGTCTTGCTTGTTTACAGGGTCTGTGAGCATCATTTAAGAACTGGTGAGATTTTAATCTGCATTAAACACTTTAATCCCAGCTATTTTGGGAGACAGACCTTCCTAACTCCAGGTGGTATTTTTCTTACCTTGAAGCCTGGCATCCCTGGGGGACCTGGAGGACCTGGTGGGCACAGAGCTGGGCACTGCAAGGAACAGAAACACTCTTTGGTTTATCCAGTACACAAAGTGTGCCCAGGGAAGCTGCTAGGGAGAGGTGAAGAGCTCGTGTGGGTTTTGGCTCTAAATCCACTAAATCTGATTCATTCACAAGATTATCTACTCACTGGCATTTCCCTATGGCACAGGGTCCTAAGCAGGACCAAATAACCCAAAACCCACCAAATAATGATTTCTGAGTGGTCTGCTTCACTCTGAGCATGGACTGTGAGAAATTCTGAAGGCTGACAGTGGTCCACAGTTCAGAAGGCTGGAGGACCTCAGCTCCCCAGGGAAGCTGGGTGGGTGTCTTGGAAATCAGTAGGAACAGATTTAACTTTATGTATTTATTGACCCTTATTGATTTCCACTAGACAATTCACCCAACTGACACAAGGACAAGCATTGGAGTTTATCAGAAGGAGACTTATAAAAAATTAACCCAAATACTGACCAGCTGGTACCTGATGTCTAGAGGAGGATGAGCCCCTGCTGGGAACTCTAGTTTGACCAGGAACAAATCAGAACATGCATGGAAACTTAATGGGGACTTAAGAGGCCAAACTCTAAAAACAATAAATAAGGAATAAGATTTTCTTTGGCAGCTTTTCTTTCATTTGTTTAGTTGTTTTTTTTTTTTTTACAAAACCTCAGGCAACACCTCTGCAGCAGAAATTTAATTTTCTAGGATATTCCACAGGGTAACAAATTAAACTTGCAGGAATAGCATCATTTTTTATTAGCTTCCTCATGACTTGCCACAAAGCTCTGAACAGACCCCGAGCTTTTTGGGGCCTGCCAATTAGAGAACCAAAGATGCTGTCACAACAACAGCTGCAAAACTGGGAAATGTCACTTCCATTGTTCATGGACTTTACACTCCTCTCATCCCCCTGGGAGAATTGGGACTTTCTTACAAGGGAGGAAGTCTAAACAAAGCCTAAGCCCAGAGGAACCCAGTGCCACCATCCATGGAAAGAAACAGTGCAACACACTCGACCTTTGCTCTTGCCTAGCAGGACTGGGAACAGATGCATGAAAATCTGGTGTCATTTACCAGATGCTGAAGTCATTTTGTAAATGAAAAATGGATGCAAAACCTGTGTTTTGAAAAGGAAACTGGAAAGCAGGAAAAAATCCACCTGCTTGAAAGGACATTTCAGCCTGGTGCACGTGCACACAAGGGTTCTGAGTAGGGATTTGACAGTTTAGATCTTTGTCTGTAGGTCAGAAGGATCCATGCTCTGACAGCCACCCAAGTATGCCAACAAAAAGTCACACCAAGGGTCAAACTAGGAAATATTTTCATGACACATAAAGAAAAACCCACCTGAAGGTCCACACCACCATCATGAAGGGTGCCTGGAAGACCCTGCAATTCATGAAATGGGTTTTTTAAATACAGCATAGAATCAGACTCACTCTGGTTGGAAAGGACCTCTAGGATCATCACATCCAACCTTCATCACAACACTTCCCTAACCATTAGGCCACAGCCTCAAGGGCTACATCTACTCCTTTTTTGAACCCCTCCAGGGATGGTGACTCCACCACCTCCCTGGGCAGCCCATTCCAGTGCCTCACCACGCTCCAGGAGGAAATACAGCTCCTGAGGAGGAGATGAGGGCAGCAATTGGAGAAGAGAAGCTGTGCCTGGCCTTCCTTTGGATCAGGGAAAGACCTCCCTATCCCTCCAACCCTCCAGAGATACCATGACAAACCCCCAGTGGCGACTTGCTGGTTTCAAGCCTCACTTGCTGGCCCTACAAGAACATCAAGCAACCACCCAAACCTTGCAAGAACAGCAAGCCCACTCTGTGATCAGTCTATGCCATAAAGCCTGGGTGTCATTGGGTTCCTCAGCCCACCCAGTGAACAGGAGATGCCCAACACCCCAACGTGCAACCAGTGAAAAGTCTCTGCTCTCCTTGGGACATGGTGTTTAGAGCCTGCTGAAACTCAGCCCAGGATAAAAGCAGTCATGGCAATGGCAGCAAATAAAGCGTGCACATTCTGGCAGCAGTAAGAAAATCTGGGACTCCCCACAGGAATTTTCACACATTCATTTGCAAGTCTCAACTTACAGGAGGTCCGGGTGGTCCAGGAGGCCCTGGGAATCCTGGCAGACCAAAAGGTCCCTAAAAAGAGTGAAAACCAGTAAGAATTCCCCTTCCTAACCAATTTTGATGAACATGCAAAGGGAGAGGATGGGTGGCTACCACATAGCACTGCCTATTTGTGAATGTGGGGCAAGATGTCTCTAGTGGGACCAAACTGCACCTTGCTTTCTGCAGAGGCTTCAGTGACTGCAAAGAGAACAGCAGATGCATATGGCAGTACAGGGATCAGGACAGAAAAACACTCCTGCACCTCCATCCCTGCTTCCACTGGCTCTCTGCCTCTCCAGTGGAGCTGTGAGCACCCCAAAACAATGATACAGTTCCCATTCTCTGCAGTAGCTTCTCTTGAGGATGTTGAAAGTCCACACCAGCTGGTACCTGACCTCTGTTCTCCTGACACTGGTGGCTCTTTTGTCCTCAGCTCGTAGCTGGTGAAGGAAGATGTGGCTGCAAGCAGCTGCACACCTTTGGCACTGCACTAGTTGACTGGGGTGACCCCACAAAAGCTGATAGAAGGAGCAGCATTGCCTGAGCTTGAAGTGTCCTGTGCATCATGCTTCCAGAATGGGGGAAGGGGCCAGAAAGGAACCTCATTCTTCTGTGGCTGTGGCATGATCAGTAAAAAGAGGATAAAATGGTAGAAGAAACTCACAGGAGGACCCCGAAATCCATTGCCACCTGGGAGGCCACTAGGTCCTGGAGGCCCCTGTTGAACAGAGAGAAGAGTCTTTACACCAAGGAGCTCAGTCCTCCACCCAGACCATCAATTTACCAATGCCCATCATTCCTTATGCTCCACCTTGCTCTTGTCATCATCACGTTGCCAACATCTGACCCCTCTGACACAGGGCAACTCTGAGATGCCCCAAGAACCCACCAAACAAAAGCTGCCCCAGAATTGGTCACTTCCAGCAATGACAAGGCTGCTGTGCCTTGGTTTTACATCAGTGCCAGCTTCCCTGGGGTTACGGGGAGCACAGAAACACCCACAGAGCTGCCAACCTGCAGGACTCCACAACCCTCTGCCCAGCACAGAAGAGGGATCCAAAGCCTGGGGTAGGTTGGTGATACTCAGGGTATCCAATAAAGCTGTATAATAGTTTTAAACTCTGTTTGAAAAAGAGTCTCATTACTTACTGGAGGTCCTGGTAGTCCTTTGCCCTGGAAACAACATTTAAACCAGGAAAAAAATCATTTAAAAACTGAACATAAAGGAAGAAAAGCAAACCTCAGAAAATGCTGCTTAATTATTTATTTTTTTTAAGTTTCCCTAGCACTCCCCTGCCCTCAGTTATTGTAATTTGCAATCAGAGCAGAGCTGGAGCCTTGATGAAGCCTTTGATTGCCTCTAAGAATCTGCATTCCCTGTGCCTCACCTCTAAGTGAAGCCATGTACAGTGATGTGATAGGAGGGCACAAACTAGAATGTTGTCTTCATAACTGTCCATCTACTTTCCATTTTTTAAATGTCTAATAAGAATGGAATTATCTAATGCCTAATAATTCTGATAGCATTTGATATGCTAGCCTTTAGCCCAAGCTGGCTTGTTTTATAACCTCTCAGAGACTAAGAACAGGCCCTGTGTTACCAGAACAGGTCATACATACACATTGAAACACTTCCAACAATATTTTCACTCCTTCAGGCTTTGATCCCTTTGTTTGGGACACAAGGCTTGCCTCTTGGTGAGGGTTTTGGCACAATATTACACACTAGCTTCACAGATGCCATTCTAGGAGTTACTTACAGCTGATCCACGGGGCCCAGCAGGTCCTAATGCACCCTACAGGAATAAACCAGAGTCCAAATTAGCAGGGATAAAACCAGAGCTCTCATATGGGTGGACATCAATGTTGAACATCATTCTCCATCTGAAAACTCCAGCAGTGTCTTATAGTAACAGCACTTAGCTGGGGCTGCTCAGCTGAATTCACAAATATAAGAACAGAAGCTTATAGACAAAGATTCTGTCATTCTTAATTCATTACTTGACTAAAGAACTATTCAGATAGTAGGGATGGATGTTCAGAATTGACCCCAGCAGCTTTCTTCACTGTCAAGAGACAGTAGAGACTAAAACATGAGCTGCTCCTAAAAGACTAAACAGACATTTCAAGTCCCAGCTGGCCTCAGATGAACCCCCAGGAATATCTAAGGGGTCATACATTGAATTTCACCCATTTGAAATATTCTCATCCATAACACTTTCATGCTGTAGATCCAATGACTAAATTACGTGGAACTATTCACAGGATTCAGGCTTGTTCTAGTGAGTTTTATTAATTTCTTGGTAACTTTTCACTATCTCCCTTGGCAAATCCCCAGTCTCCTTTTCCCAGCTGGTGTTCTTAATCTTAAGCTTGACTAGGGTTTGGTGATCTTGTGTCTTAGACTAGAATTAAATCCTTCCTGAAGTTGTTACATTGCTGCCTAACTAAAGCTAGTAGGACAGACAGAAATCCTTAATCTCTCCTGGAGCCATGTTGTGCTCTCCAGGCCCTGCTGTAGACAGCTCTTCTCTTGCATTTGTATTCTTCTTGGCTGATGTTGCTCTCTGATAAAGGCAGAACTTAAGACAGCAAGTGAGGAGGTGACAGACTTCAATCCAGAACGAGCATTGTCATTATTTATGGACCATGTTACACCAGTGCCAGGAAAATCCTCATCCCCCTGGGCAGGGGACAAAGCAACCACAGCACGAGGCTTCCTCAGCCTCTCACCAGCCCCTTTGCCCAAACCTGCTTTCCAAATGTCCCCCAAATGCTGCACAGAAGCATCTTGCCAACGATGTCCTGAGCTGAGCTGGAATTAAATGGGGTCTACCCCCAGGAGGAGGAGAACAAGGCAGATGGGCAGAGCTGGAACAGATCCCAGCACACTGCTGCTTATCCAGGTCCCAGGGACAAGGCCAGCCCTCTCCTCATGTTCTGCATACCAAATGAGATTAGAAATATTTCCCCTGGTTAAGGAGAAGGATAGAGAGCACCCAAGGCCTCATTAAGAGCAGTCTTGTGAGGAGAGGACCGTAATCCAATAAAAATCAACTCTCCTGCAGATGTCAGCTCATTCACTTCTCTTGCTGCAGGTCACTCTGCTTTTCTTCCAGTCACTTTCATCTTTAGGCTGAAGTCCTGACAACTGCTGATGGTTGCAAGGGGCAAGCTGGGATCTCCTCCTGCAAAGGAAACGTTGAATTCCGGGCACCTACTGACTTACACCCTGATCCTGCTCCCACTGAAGCCAGCTGCACAGCCCTTTACTCTCCTTAATTTTGCTTTCTTTGAGGATGTAAGGTGCAGCAAGCAGCAGTGAGCATTCCTGGTACAGCACAAGATCATCAAGGCCCTGGGGAAGCTGATGTGACTCCATTAAACTCAAAGGAGAGACTCTAATTTACACCTCAATTTTAATAACTTTGACTCAACTCGTTCTCCTGGTAGCAATGTTCCTTCTCTTGATTAGAAAACAATCTCAACACAATTTCTCACTTTAAAGTAATACATCTGATGAACAAACAACCACAGGAAACACTCGATTAATGACATCCATTAATAAAGATGAATAATTATGTTTTTCTCATAGCTTATAGTGTAAAGCACCAAACCTCAAAATAGCCCTTGAAAGCTTCCAAGGAAGGACACCAGTATCTAGCACTGAGGTCAGAGACCAGCTTGTTCTTGGCTAAAAAAATGAAGGGTTTTTAACTGCAAGAACATCACATAGGCTTCATCTGATCAGTCTGTAAGCAGAACCATGGGAAACACTCATGGGTGCTGATAGCAATGGGAGGATTTCAGATAAAAAGCATCTGGGTATGCTGCCTTCTCAGAGCTGCCCCTGGGCAGACAGGAATCTCTGTTGGACCAATGAAGCCTGGCACAGAGAGGGAAAGAAATGTTCAGCAGTAGTGTGTTAGCAAACCTGTCTTCCACACACTGAACTCCTTCACTCTCAGGCACTGCAGAAGAACATGCTCATTCAGAACTCTCTGCTCAGTGTGAACTCAATCCCACCACACTCAGTAGCCACCTGCTTATTTCTGTGATTCCTGAGACTGAAATATGCTCTTGAAGCTGGAGAAAGGAACAAAAATCAGAGTAACAATGCTGTCCTTATAGAGTGCTAGAGATTTACAGGTTTTTCTTTTTATCCATGCTTTAATTAAACCAATTAAACCAATTTTTCCAGATGGATCACTGACCTTGAAAAGCTCCCATAAATGACAGCAGGTCCCAAGTTTATCCCATGCTGACAGACTGAGTTATGAGACACAGGAAAGCATGTCACATCAGAGCATGTAGTCAGGGTAACTGTGTTCCTGTTCCTCTACTCAAGAGCTGAAGAGGAATTTCTTATGCCCAGAGATTATCTGCTCAATTACCCTGCAAACTAGGAGCTTGTGTGCTAAAGTGGGCATGGGCAAACTCTACCAAATGGAAAACAGGGGCACAAAACTGCTCACAGCCTTCTGTGTGTGGTCCTGAACTCTTCTATTTTAAAAATCAGGATCAGTTCCCAGCAGGTGCTGGACTCTTGCCACAGCCTGTCTGACAGCAGTCAGGAGAATGATGGGCACCAGGAAAAGCAGAGGAGATGGTGCAGTGCTGAGGGATGGAGGTTTGGAGCTGTGAGCAAGGTGCTGCCACTCAACTTCCCAGTGGCCAAACTTTGCCTTATGAAGAAGGAAGAAGAGGGTATCAAAGACACACTGCTCTATCACTCATCCCTTTAACTAAAGGGGACACAGGGTTTTGAGCAACTCCTTGGGGCAACAAATAGATTATTGAGATATGCTGAGCCTTTTTTCAACCTTTGTATGCCATGAGTGTGTTCAGCCCATCGCTGCAGCCCCAAGTTCAAGGCAGGAGGAAAGCAGCTGTGGGTACAGGGCTTATCTTCCCCCACTGAGAGAGAGGAAAATAGCCATGCTGGATAAAACCCTGTGCTGAATGGCTCACTAATGTTCAGTTTTCAATGTCACAAGAGGCCTAAGTGCCCCTCTGGCCCCACTGTAGATGATCTGAAGGCCATCTGTAACACCTCAGGTAGTCATTCCTCTATTCCTGTGGTGCCCCTTAGTTGAGTTGTAATATGCACAAAGCAAGAAAAAAAACGTCCCATTTCTTGCTATGCTGGCTGGGGAAGTCAATACCAAAGCAACTAATAACATCAACCATGTGGGCAGCCCCAGAACTAACAAAAGGCAAAAGCTTAAACAGCTATTACACAGCAGCAGTAATTATAAAGGTGACAGAGCTGCCTACTCAGACTGCAAACTGAGGCCAAAGAGCTCCACGTTGATAAACTTCATTATGAAGTCTATCCACTGCTTCAAGGAACATTTTAGATACTCAAAATATCATCAGAGCTGGTTTGCACTGGTACTCCCACCACTGAGGCTACCCAAGCCCATCTGAAGCCATCTCACACCCTGCCTAATGCAAAGCCACCTAGGGCTTCATTTCAAGGGTCCTAGTGTTCTGCAAGGGTTCACAGATAGCTAAGCCAGTACTCCCAGCACTGAGGCTACCCAAGCCCATTCGAAGCCATCTGAAGGAGGGATCTCACACCCTGCCTAATGAAAAGCCACCTAGGGCTTCATTTCAAGGGTCCTAGTGTTCTGCAAGGGTTCACAGATAGCTAAGCCATCGTTGTCAACACCCTAATGCCACCAATTTACAAAGGAATGAGAAATCATCAATACAAGCAATGACAACATCCATTTAAAGAGGCTTAGGATGTAATGTGGCACTCACACGGTCTCCTGGAGGCCCATTTGGGCCAGGTGGGCCATCAGTTCCTGTCAAACCCTGAAAAGGAAAAAGAAAGGTGAGTGTGAAAACACAGAAATAAGAGCTACAGGAAGTTCCTGTCACCATCAGCAACACAAATCATCTGGATGTCTGATATACAAGACACATTCATAGATCCAGGACCCTCTTTGCTTCTCCAGTAGACACAGAGAAGCTTGATGAAACACTCTGGAGAAAAGGAAAAAAAAAAGGTGAGTGTGAAAACACAGAAATACAGAAATAAGAGCTACAGGAAGTTCCTGTCACCATCAGCAACACAAATCATCTGGATGTCTGATATACAAGACACATTCATAGATCCAGGACCCTCTTTGCTTCTCCAGTAGACACAGAGAAGCTTGATGAAACACTCTGGAGAAAAAAACCCATGCCTATATTAAACACTTCAAAGGTCTAAGAGAAGATGACAAAATACTCACATCCACTCCAGGAAGGCCAGGCAATCCAGCTTCACCAGCTGCTCCAGGCTTCCCTGGTGCACCTTTTGGCCCCTAAATCAGATAAACAGGTAATTTTTAGAAGAGGAGAAATGTTGTGTGTGTTGTTATGGGCTACAAGAGAGCAGCTCATTTGCTGATGTGTTAATCTCACACCATGCAACACAGGAGAATTGCTGCAGAGAGATGAAGCTTGCCATGAATCCATACCCAAATCCTAAATTCATTCCAGTGCTTTGGCTCAGGTCCATGTACAGTTACTCCAAAGCTGTCCCTAGCAGAGGGGTAGAAAGGGGTGGGGCAAGTGGCCCAAAGCAAAGAGCTGTGCCACCTGGTACAACTTTCAGCACCCTTTGGCAGACTGAAGAGCTGAAGCAGACTCAGAATGATGCCAAAAATAACCACACATGTATGGCTTGGTGCCAGTTTGGTTACACTGGTCATGGGCAAGCTTGATTTCATCCATATCCTCTGCTAGCAATCAAGCAGAAGAATGCATTTGGTCCCCCAGGACCAGTGCTGAGATTCTCCACTCCTGTGTAGCCCTTTTGGAGATTCTGCTGTGGATCCAAATGAAAACAAGTCAATAAATCTTAGCTCTTGTGTATCATTTACTTCTCAAAAGGATGAACAAGTCCATGTCAACCACAAGATACTTACTGGTGGGCCTGGCAAACCAGGAGGGCCTGGCTCTCCCTAAATCAAAGAGAAAAGACATCAGTGTTAATGCTGAACCTCTTTCTGTTGGCTTTCTGCAACAATGGTGGTGCCAACTGTCAGAGCACTCAAGCCTCCCTTCATGATTTACCACCCAAGCTGATGCTCTAGATCCTGCTGCCCCTCAAGCAGGATGAACTTGGACAGCCCTTCCCACTCTATGACAGCAGATCTGGTGCAACCCACATCCTCAGCCTCCCAGGGGAACCAATGCTTTTGAACAGTGCCCAGCACCTCCAACTTTTTTTCCAGATATGCTTCAAAATTATTTGTACTTGGGTTTGTCTGCACGTGGGGCAGAGAGGAAGCTGGATGGCTATGAAGGCTTCCAACCATCATCCTGATGAAACTCCAGGGATACAATGACAATCTCCAGGTATCCAGGACACAGCATGAAGCTGTGTGGTACTGCCAGGAGCTGGGGACCCTCAGAAAGTGAAGAATGAACCAACTGTCTACAATGATTTTCCTCCTATGACTAAACTTTGAGTGGAGAAGCAAATGAACAAAGCCCCCAACTGATTTCCACCTAATCCAATTGCACCATCTGTGTTAAACTTGATTTTTAGAAAATATTTCAAAAGCACTCATTTTCTTTTCCTATCCTAATGGAAAGCAACTTTTAAGAATATCATTTAAAGGCACTTAATGAGATAATATTTTAAAAGCCCTCGAATCAAAAGAGGCAATCAGCTGGGAATAGCAGGAGCTTGACTGGAGCTCAGTTTCCCATCTCATCTCACAGAAAAATCACTTCAGGTTGCAATTCCAGATGTCTGGATGGGGCACTTCCCTCCTGGCTTTAGGTGAAGTGCACTAAATATTGTGAGAGACTCAAGTATTGTGAGTGAGCAGAGGGGAAGGGGCATGCTGATACCCTGGGAGAAGAAAATCTCTATGGAAAAAGGGTGGTTATTAAGAGAGCAAGGCTAGAAATAACCCCACCCTCACCATGGGCTTGATAATTAGAAGGCAGCAAGCAAAGGCCTGGAATGTAGAGCACGTTTCTATATTTACCATGTCAGGAACTGTGAAGTCTGTGGGTAAATCTCTCAAGACTGGCTGCCTTGTTTTCCTCAGGCAGGGATTTCTATACTGCACTGGTGACCAATCCATGCACAGCCCTGAGGGTCACTGAACAGAGGGATCTTTATGCTCTGCTTTGCTGAAGCAACCCCTTGCCCAGAGCTCTTCCATAAATAGTTATTATCAGAGGTGGGGAAGGTCCCCTGCCAAGGAAATGAAAGGAGCAGTTCTTTGGCAAGGAATGGTTTGAAGAGGCAGCTAGAAATGGCAGCAGAGGTGGTTTGCTCCCTCCTCCACCACTCAAGGTTGCCATCCCCTTTGGCTTTTTTCTTGCTTGTGCAATGGCAAGCCATACAGCAAGGTCACAGCACCAGCAGAGGCTGCTCAGGACCATCTTAAACCTCCAGCCTGGTATCGTGGACCCCTGTGGGGCTCTGCAGGAGCCCCAGAATCAAAAGCCTAATCAGTGTTTACAGCCCTAATGCCAGATCACTGGGAATTAGAGGCTAAGGCTGTCAGCACAAGGAAATGCTCTCCTGGTGCTACAGGAGAGGGAAGGAAGTTCACCCTTTCTTAGCAAGTCAAGCCAGGAGATGGTAAGTGGAAGGAAAAAAAAAAAAAAGCAAGCTTGATTTTTGAGAAGTGACAATTGCTTATTAGCAATGTGGGGAATTAGAGCCCCAGAAATAATTCCCAGGAACTTGTCACTAATTCTTTTGATCCTAACGTGCTGTTTCCATTCTGGGGAGGGAGATTTGCCTCGTTCCTGGCTGTGAAACGTGGAGCATGTTAAAGGCTGTAATTATAAAACATTTCAGAGAGGCTTAAGCCTGCAGCCCCCACTGAAAGGCAGGAAGGAAAGCAGGAGCTTCTAGAAATTGTGCTTATGGGGTTCATCTGAGGTTTGTCTGGAGATCTCCTGACTAATTCAGCTCTATGTTGTGCTCACAGATGATGGGAAGGGGCTGCTGAGCACCTTGGCAGCACTTACCCTGCTCTGAGACCATTCAGTGGCTCTTCCAGCACAGCATCCATCCAAAGCCATCTGTGAAGATGGCCCAGCTGGAGTGGCTTACAAAGCTCAAGGAACTTGCATAGATAGGGGTCAGAAAAGTTCTCATTGTGCTTAAAAAAAGAAGAGTCTTGCCACTAAAGGAAAGAAAAATGAATGGTTTCATCCTTGGCAGTGGTAGAGTTGACACTACCGCTCAGGGTCTTCAAGGTCCTCTCCATGCAGCACTATGAAATGCAGAGCAGTGCTGGATTTTATAGGCCATAAATTTTTTGGAGGTTGTTGCCAGAAAAACGGTAGCCCTTAAACTGGGAGGCTTCACCACTGTGCTCAACACTAGCCACAGCCCTGCACCTCTTCTCCTGTGTGACTCCTTAAAGGGCTCAGCGTCCTGTGGAGTGGCAGAAACCACCCTGAGCCTGTCCCTGAAGAGCTGAACCATCTCCTGGGCACAACCCATATCCATAGGAAGGATGGAGATCAAGTCTGTTCAAAGGAAAGACTTCCTGCAGAGCCTCAAGCTGGGACTGCAAGACCTACCACCTGAAATACTTTCCTCAGCTCTTTGATTTATTAGGGCTAAGTTCTTCCTATTAATTAGATGTTATTTTGTCCTGTCCCCCAGGGAGCCTTCTGAAGCTTTCAGCAGTGGATAAGAGGCTGTGGGTTCACGTGACCAACATCTCCCCAGGCTCCTGTTTCCAAGAGAAATCAGAAGTGCTGCTGGGGCTGGTCCAGAATTAAGGTGTAAAATAACCTGTAGAAAGCAGGAACTGAGGGACACAATTGCAGGGATTCATTTCCTTCCAATTGCCCAGAAGCAGAAACTGGCTACCCCTCAAAAGGCTGAAGGGCTCCATCCCTCCCAAATTCTTCTTTTTCCCCTCAGAAAGGCAGCCACCCTCTCCTGAGCCCACTGGTCCCATGGACATCCTGTGCAGTGACTCCACAGCCTTATTGCTGTGACCACCACCGCGTGTCCTTCACCCTCCCTCTGCCAGGGTGTCCCCTTAGGCTTTTTACCACATCATGGAAAAAAAGGGGAGAGAAACCATCTAGGCACCAGCTCTGAACTTCTCACACTACAAAACCAGAGTGAGGTTTTCAGTGAAACAGCCTCTGTGAGTTGAAGGCCACTTTAGGACTAGCTGATCAATGAGGTTCTCTCTCTGGAGCAGCCTTGCTCACAGAGCCACTATGAAAACTCACCACTCCAGACAAAATGCTCTTTGTTCACTGTATGCCAGAGAACTCATATATCTTTTTTTTACCTCCTTATCCAAAACCAAACGACCTGCATGGAATGAATAAGTTTTTCCAAGGTTGTTTAAAGGCCCAACTCCAATAAACTTACTTCAGACAAGCTTTAGAAAACCCTGCCCTGTTTCAGAAGCAGCTTAGAGAGACAAGAGCTACTCAAGCTGAGTATCAAAGCAGGAATCTGGCCTTTTGCATTTGATGTGGTCTTGCTGAAGGCCCATCTGATGCTCTTTTTAACCCACAAGCGGCTTAGAGAGACAAGAGCTACTCAAAGTGAGTATCAAAGCAGGAATCCGGCCTTTTGCATTTGATGTGGTCTTGTTGAAGGCCCATCTGATGCTCTTTTTAACCACTGCCAACCACAGGACACAATTCAACCCTTATCCAACAGATGCACAGAAGCAAAATTTTTCATTTCATGTCAATGAGAAGTAATAGCACAAGTTTTTCTCCTCCAGCAAGTCCTGTGGCACAGTCCCCTACCTCTGCAGGAGGTGTAAGTGGAAGGAACTGTCTGCTGAAATAAAGGGTGCCCATTTCATTGCCTTTTGTGCCACTATAGGCAACTCATGCCTGGCAATACCTGAGCCAGATTCTGACCTCTCACATGCCAACATGAGTTGGGGACAGCCTGCCTGACCATGCTGAAATAAACCCAATGTAAATAAAAGCAGTGCCCAGCATGCATATTTGAGCTTCTTGGGGTCTCTCTCGAAATGTGGATCTCTGAAGTGCCACAGAAACCTCTCTGAACTAGAGAGCACACCATGAGTCCAGCACACATTGCACTCATGCACTCAGCCCTACATATTACATTCCCCTTCCTCCCCAGACACCAAAAGAGGAATATTCTAGGTTTAAGCAGGGTCATCAACCCCTGGGATGCACTAGCTTTGTCCTGAACTCTCTCTTGAGACAGGAGATCAATCCTGCAAAGAACTCGAGGCCACTCAGCACCTCCACTCCCTGTTCTGACTCTGACAAAATGAGCTGCCTTGCCAGTAGGCTGCTTCTCTTCTCCAGCTCCATCCACCTCTGAAGGATGACCCAAAGGCTGAGGCTCTGGAGAACAAGAGCAGCTTCTTGGCTCAGTCCCCTGCTCCACCCCTTGCCCTCCCTCTGCCATGTGTCACTCACATCTATGCCGTCCTTGCCGGATGGTCCAGGGGGTCCTCGTGGTCCTGGAGGGCCTTGTGGTCCTACTCTCTGAAAGGATTGGGGGAAGAAAGAGAGGAGAGTTTATTTTTGCATCAGAAGGAACACATGAGCTAAAACAGAAAGCAGTGGCCAAGTCCTACAGCTTAACCCTGAATCTGCACTAACCCCCCACCCCCCAGGGCTCCCCACCACCCTGGGTGGACTCAGAGGAGCTTAGGACCAGAGCAAAGCTCTCTGGAAAACCCTTTTGCCTGAGCACATCCACAGGGCTCCCAGCTCGTTTAACTGGGGGCTCATACTGGGAATCAGAACCAGTCACTGGGCAGCAAATGGGTCTGGTTCTATAGGAAGCTGTTCTTGCTGCCTACAGGCACGTTTCATTTTGGGCAGAAGAGGAAATGCAAAGCCCACAGAAAATAGGTGCCAACTGCCTGGCCTTAAAAATTAATTTGCAGTCCCAGTTTGATGGGGTGATGGAAGAGGCAGGAGGACACTGCTGAAGACAGATGAAAGGGAAAGTCTCTTCTGAGCATTTGAAAATCTGGGATTTTGGAGGAGGTCTGAAGTGGGGGGAAGGAAAGAAAGGTCCAATAAATGACTTCTGTATGGAGAGGGCTCCAGGGAGCAACATGCTGCAGCTTCAGGGAACAAAGGTTTCATTGTAGAAGCAGCTCTGCTCGCAGCAGACGAGGGCAGCTCCCAACTCCCAAGCCAGGCTGTGAAAATTCCTCTCTAACACAATGAAAAACCTCACGGAGGAATTACTTCCCCAGGCAATAATAATAACATCCTTCAGGGAAGATGAATACGGCCCCGTGTCTAAAATGAACAAGGGCTAAATGTGCTCTAAGTGTGACATTAGAAAATTGAGGGTAGGAATAACAAATCCTGGCTCAGACCTGGACCAGGACATCAGTCTCATTGGCAATCTGTTAGTTCATTTTCAAAGAAAATTGGGAGTTTTTTTGGAAACTACAGGTCTCCCCTTCCCCAAGGCTTTCTCCCTCCAAATTGCAGCCTTGAATAAAGAGACAATACTTTTCTGTGTTCCAGCAGAACACGAGGATAGGATCTAAAATCTGACCCCTGTGGGTACAAACCCAGATGTGCTCACTAGGCACTCTCTGCATAACAGCACAAGCAACACCCACATTTCTCCTCAACTTTAGCCCCTAATAAACCTGCCTCTTGCCACCTTTCACCCTGCAGGTATAACACAGACAGATCACTGTGTTTTTTCCCCCTATGGACTCTTTTTCTTGAGCATAAGACAGAAGTGAGGCTCCTTACCTGAGCTGATGCTGTGGCTAATAGCTGACACAGGAGGAGAAGCCCAAGAGTGGAGAATCCAGCCATGGTGCCCAGGCTCTGCCTCTCTTCCTTCCTCCTGGGCAGCCAAACCCTTTCTCCTCCAGGGTCCAGCAGATCCCTCCTCCTCCTCCTGGGTTCTCAGCTTACAAACAAGGGGCTCCTCGGCTCCAGATAAACCTGCGGCTCCAGCTGGAGGGGCAGAGCTCAGGAGCACAGGCAAGAGGGGCTGAGCTGGGAGGAGAGAGGTGGTTTGGGAAGGAGGTGGGAGGAGGAGGGGGAGCAGCAGTCAGTCAGGAAGAGAAACTCTCATTCATGCCCTGCTGGGCAGCCCCAGCCTTGAGCAAACACGGGGGGAGCCTACAGAAGGCTCGGACTTGCAGACATGCCACAGGAGCAAAATTTGGCTGCTCCAGCTGGAGATATAAAGAAGTTTCTTAGGTCTCACCCAGCCATTTCTCAAAGCCCATCACCACCTCGGTGCTGAACAGACAAAAAGCAACACAGAGAGTTATTCAGTGCCTGAGGCTGCCAAACTTCACTAAAGAAATTAATATACCTGTAACAAGTGCAAGATGCACCAGAGAAATGCACTTGGTGCTTTGTGAGATGGTTTATCAGCTCTGGAGGTGCACTCCTGGCTCTTTTGGATTTTCTGCAGGGAGACCTAAAGAATGTCAACTGATTTCTTGAGAAAAGTGATGAGTCCTGACCAGAGAACAGATGATCGCAGACAGATCCAAAGAGGAAGAAAGAAGAAACATCCTCAGAGCCACAAAAGAAAAGATAAAGAATTGCCTTTGAAATATTTGCACAGAAAACAGGATGACAGTTCCCAGCTAGGTGATCCCAAATGGAAAAATACCCACAAAGATGCATCTCCTGCAAAGAGCTTCATGCTTCTCTTCACCAACTAAAGGGAATTTCAGCCACAGCAGGGCTTGGAAGCAGAGAGGAAAAGTGGCAAGATTCATCAGGACTGAAGTGACACAACTTAGTTGGTGAGCAAGAGGAGAGCAGAAGTAGAAAAGCAAAGCTTAAAATCTGATATCCCAGGTTTCAGTTTGGCATCCTGAGGCCAGGTTTATCCGAGCACAGCGTGTGCCTGCCCAGCTCCCCAGCAGCTAATGTTCCACCAGCCCTGACAGAGGGATAAAGGGCTCAAAGATCTACTAAGTTCCTACAAGATTTCGTGGAGCAGGCAGCTGGGGACAGAAAGCTGGGTCCTCAGACAAGCTTCAGAGTACATGGAGTGCTGAGACACCACAAACCCCACCGAGGGAGCTGGGCAGTCACAGGAGCTGCTTTGCACAGAGCTTGTTCCTCCTCCTTCACCAGGGTCAACTGACAGCAAAAGGCAAAGCAGATCCCAATTCCTCAGCCACACATCACCCACAGCAAGCCAGGGCTTGGAAGGCTGCTGCAGACTGAGCCTGCTTATGACCAGCATGGGAAGAACCCTGGGAATATTCACCTTCAAGCCCAGGCACAGAACAAGAGGATGTCCAGTCCTCCTCTCCTTCCACGTCCCCAGGCAGAGGGAGGACTGCTGAAGGGACACAGCAACTTAAAGAAATCATCACCACAAAGACATCCCCGTGCTTGTGTCCTCAGGAAAAGGTCCACCAGAGCAAAGCCCCCACACACAGGCAGGGCAGCTGCCCTCCTGCCCCCTGGCCCCAAGAGCTGCTCAAAAGCCAAGTTCTTGTTTGCTCTGCAGAGCATCACAACACATGCTTGGGAGGATGGCAGCCCAGAAGCAAGAGAGGGCACACTGACACATTTCAAAGCACATCATTAAACCAGAAGCATGTGGGGAGGTGTCTTCTCCCCATAAACATTCACTGGCCACGTCCTGCAGCTATGGAGGAAGGCTGAGCATCATCTCCACGTGGAAGGAGCAGCAGGTTTATCACACAGAGAGCTCACCAGACCTCTGCTTTAGCAGCTGGGCTTGGTGAGACCAGACAACCCCAGGCACCCACTCCTGGGAGGTGCCCAAGCAGCAGCAGATGGCTGCAGGGTGTGGTGGGGCAGACACATGGTCACGTCTTGCCCTCAAGGATTAAAAAAACCATAAGTGGAAACTGGTATGCATTGAAGTCATGCTTTAATAGGTGGCATTAATGCAACAGTGTGATACAGCTCAGAGTGCTGGAAAATATCCTGTGAACTCACTGCAAACACCAACTGCCAAAACTCTAAACCTGGGCATGACAGGGAGTGATTTGGGTTGAGCACTCCAGACTAGGGCTCACAGTGAAATCCCATTAAACACAAAACCCACACATTCACCATAGTAAAATTTATGATCTAGGCCCCAACCGAGCACATGCTCACAATGAAAACATTAAATTAAAAAAAAAATTACTATAAATCTGTACAAAAGCCACGATTAACAATTTGTTATGAATCTTTTATGAAAGAATTCTCACTCAACATCTTCAAGTATTTATATCCATAGTTAAGTGTATTTTTAACTTCAGTTTGCTCCCAAGAAAAAAAACCCAAAGGATTTTAAAAACATTAAAGCCTTTTCCCAGCACGTGTGTGACCACAAACATGAGATGTTAAGCTTGCAGACTTTTATTCCCACACCACACATGTGTCCATGCTGGACCAGGACTACAGTATTTGAAGGCAAGTCACTGATCAAAGTCCTTGAATGATGAAGTTTCTTCAGGGCTGTAGCAGAGAGGAAAACCATTAACATTGCACAAGCTGCTCCATCTGCTCTCTAGCAAGGCAGGGAAGCCTCTAGCCATCCCCTACACAAAACAAACAGCACCTGAAAACCCCAAAACCAAACCAAACGATCTGAGCCAACAGCAAAACCAGACCTTCTGACTGCTGGACACCATTTCCTCCTCTTCACAGAGCAGCTTCTCTGTTGTAAACCTCTAGGAGCAAAAGTGCTGAATTGTTTAATGCTCCTTCTGACTCGGTTGAGTGCTGTGGAAGTCAGGCAGAAGAGCCAACAAGGAGGTCAGGAACATTAAGGCAGGCAAAGAGCTGGCAAGGTCTCAAAGTAAATTCTTGAGGGCTGTAAGTAAATGAAGCAGCCAAGCGTACTCCCTCCAATCAAAGTTTCAATTAACAGCCCCACCAAGGCCAGGGGTTTCCAGACATGCTGTACTCCAACATGCCCTCACTGTCTGACATGCTGATCATTCACAGTAAAACAACCCTGCCCTAACTAGCAAGGGGGTTAAATCTGGCACATCTGACTCCACGCAAGGAGCCTGCAGAAAAATAGCCCCCAGGCCACTAAAAATTAAGGGCAAAGTTGGAAAAAAATACAATGACAAACACTTGTTCTATTTTGACAACTGAGGAAGGAAGGACTTTGAGCCAGTAGTGGTCAGAAGTATCTGTGGAAGACTATCAAGGGCCTGAAAATGGTGGAAAAACCTGGGGAAGAGCTCAAGACAGCTTTATGCAGAGTCTGAAGGTTTTTCTCTTAGAAACCAGTAGGCAATTCATATTTGTACCAACTCTAACAAGCACTACAAAGGAAATTCTGCAGGGGATGAAGGGAGCAAGTTACTCAGCACTTTGCACCCTAGAGAAGAGGATCTTTCAGGCAAACAGCACCTCTGCCAGGCATGAATCCTCTGGGAACATACAGCCTTTCCAAGCAGCCAATACAAGTTACATGGTAATAGAAAGGCCTGGAAAATTAGGTCATTCTGTTTGACATTGAAAATCATGTATTTAATAAATATTTGGCTAGTTGAAACAAGGAAACAGATCACTTTTCCTCTTCTCTTTGAGGGACATACCAGGATCAAAGCCAAGTGCAAAAATCCCCATTGCTCCAAGGCAGTCCTGAACATCAGATAAAAACCTGGAGCAGGACACAGCCTGGCCATCAAGATAACTAAATGAAAGTCTTCCTCATTAGGGTGGCCACAGGCTGGATCTCAGTGAAGTTCCTAGAGATGATGAGAGGGGAAGTCAGAGAGGGGCTAGCCTGGATCAGCCCAAAGGAAGGTCATTTCTCCAGGTACTTCTGCCATCCAAATCACTGAAGCTGGCTCCTGGCAGTCAGGGCAGGGGCATCTCCACTTGCCTGTGTGCTTGGTGTGCTGCTCTTTGCTGCTACCTGCTCTGCAGCAGGTTCTGCTGCTACCTGCTCAGAGCTTTCAGGTTTTTGTGTTGCAACCTCATCACTGTCTTCCTCAGGACAAGTGGGTGCCATGCTCTGCTCAGGACTCTCTGGAACTTGCATCTTGCCTGTGACTTCTGCCTGCCCTTTTTCACTCCCATTTTCTTCCTTTTTATGCTGTTCTACCCCATCTACCTCACTTTTGCCTCCCAGGAGTGTGCTATTGCAGTGGTGTTGATCACTCCTTGCTGTGACTTGATCTCCACTCAACTCCAAGGCATCACTTATTGGAGAAGTCTGGCCAGTTTTGGGGAGCTTGGAACCATCTGGGGGTGTCACAGCCCCACCATTTGCATCCCCATTATCCTTTTCACTTGTCACTTCCACAGCTGCATTTTTCTCAGTGACATTTTCTTTTTCAGCTTCAGTGTTTGCACCAGATGGATCTGACTTGGCACTAGAAGCAGAAGGCCTCATGTTCAGGTTTATGGCCAAGTTGCATGTTTTGCTTCTTGATGTTCTCTTATCAACCTTCCTCCTTTTCACAGCTGCATCAGCTGAGTCTTTGGTGCTTGCATCATCTTCTTTCAGTGTTTTCTGGTCCTCTTCTGCCTGTAAGAGTGGAACTGAGGAGGGGATTTCTGCCTCAATGGCACATTCTCCCAGATTACGGGAGATATTTTCAATATCAGAAGGGCTTTTCAATGCTCCACTCTTTTTAGGGTCTGCTACATGTGCATCCAGTTTTCTCTTCTTGCTCTCCTTTGTGCAATCGTTCTCTGCTGTGCCCTGCACTTCAGCCTCACCGTTTAAGTCCTTCTCCTCCTGCTGGGTTAAGGAAGCCTCCTTCTCCTCTTCACCATCACCTCCCTTCAAAGCACATTCACCTATCTTCCCTTTCACATCTTCATCATTCACTTCAGGCTGCAAGCCTGCAGCATCTCCAGCTTCCTGTTTGTCTCCTGAAGACTGGTTCTGATCCTTTTCCACAGAATCATCACATTTTTTACCAGGAGTTTCCTGTTGATCTTCAGCCTTTTGGTGCAGCTGTGACTTGGCAGAGCGGGGTCTGTACTTCAAGAGTTTGTCATGTGGCCCCCACACGAAGCTGCTCTGAGGTTTGAAGTGTTGCCAAGCATAGTGCACTAGTTCTCTTCTCTTCCTTTTGTTTCTGATGGTGAACAGAAAGTAATCCAAGGCACTTTTCTTAACATTTGGTAACATCTCCTTAACAAGAGTTTCTGTCAGGAAAAACTTGACCAAGTGCACTTGATAGTGTTCATATCCCATCTCCCCCAGGCACTTCAGGATGCGAGTAATCCGCAGATTGTTGTGGCTGTACCTGAAAGAAACAGAGAAGCAAAGCTGTTGGGGAGAGCCTTACAAGTCACTACAGACCTCTGGGGTGCCTGCAAAATGTTTTGTGCATTATTGGCTGTGATTTATTAAAGACTGTTTGACAATGCAGATGGGAGTACAAGTGGGCTTGCTTTTAAAGCACCTACTGCTGCTGTCTGCCTTCAGCAGTGCTTTCCTAGCCCTTCTTGGGTTGCTAGGATTAATCATCTTAACTGCTTGGAAAGGTTCTGGCTTTCTGCATCAGCTGCAGTAGATAACAGCCACTATACTGGGTCAGCCACACAAGTCCATGCAGCTCAATATCCTGTCCCTGGCAGTGACCTCGAGGGGTAGGCCTGCAGAACAGTACAAGAACACAGGCATGTAAGGGTGCTCTCAGAAGTTCAGGTCTTAGGGACTTAAGCTAGGCACAGCACTTTATTTTCCAATATTTGGCAGTCTTCAAGTTGTTTTCTCCTTTGTGAGTGTGCTCAAGTCTTCTTAGAACCCTTTTTGATATCACTAGATCACAAAGGCTCATCACTATCTCCTCTGCAATAAGACCTCCAATAACCAAAATATTACCATTAATTTGCAGAGCACTTTTCAGCCAAGGCTCCAAAGTATTTTACACACATTAAGGCAGCTTTATAAACAAGGGGAGAAGCACATAGATATATCCCTATTGCCAAAAAAAACCCAAAAATTAAAAAACAAATACAAAAATTTACATAGCAAATTGCTATAAAAGCCATTTGGTAAACCTGTGGAAAAATGTTTCAGTGATTTCTGCTTCAAACACAGTTTTAAACAGAAGCTCTGCTAAAGAAAATATGAATGTCTCCAAGTCTGCAGTTTCAGGAGACCAACATGAAGAACTCCTGCTGTTAACAGCTGCACCAGATCCAAAAGACAACCAGTCTCAGCTGGTTTACTTATTGTACTTGTCACTTATTAAAGTCACAGTGAGTGTGATGACCTACAGTCAGAGGCTGAGCCAAGTTAAAAGTACTTTAGCTAGCCAACTTTTTTTATCAACAAAAACCTCCACTCCTCAAGTCTTGGGAATTTTCTTCACTTCTGACATTTTTTCCCCTCAAAGCAGCACCTGGCTGTAGTGAATACCCAGCAGCACCAACAGAGACTCACCGGTTCAGGTTTTGAAACCTTTCAGCCCAGTTCTCTGCTTTCTTCAGTTCTCCAGTTTCCTCATTGATCAGAAGGATTCCATAAAATCTCAGCATTAGCTGATAAGCACGGACAAACCTTTGCATAACTTCCTTGGACTTCTTAAAGGCCTGAAAACAAGACAGAACAATGGGTACAAGGTGCAACTCTCTAATTGCCTGCGCCAGTTTACATGGCACATGAATTTTGAACACTTGAGTATATGATGAAGCATTTCATTTGCTGCTGTAGCTACTGTCAGATGAAAGACAAAGACCCTGAGGAGGCAATGTCAAAAAAAAAAAAACCTAGACTTCAAAAAAGAGCCAAAAGTTTTCCCTACCTGGATTTCTTGCTGTGTGAGTGGCTTGGCACGCCAGTTCATCCCATGCTCACGTAAAGGGAAGAGCCTGAAGGGAAAGAAATTTTCAGCACAGATGAGCAAAGATGTCAAGTTCAGGGTACCCATTTTGTTAGAATAAAAAATGATGCCAAAAACTGTGGTCTCACAGGCACCTCTTGGAGATCTCACACCCTAATGGACACAGAAGTAGTTTACTATATGACAGATAAATCCCTCCCATAAAAGCAATGCCTGCACCAACAGGCAGGTAACACACTTTGCTTATCTGGATCTCTCATTGCACCAAGACTTTGCTCTGCAGTATGCTATAGACCACGTGTGACTGAGATCTATTGCCCCAGCTGCACTGGAAACTTGTGTCTTCAGGATTTCCACTGCACTGTTTCCAGAAGAATATAACTCAATAAAAAATAAAGTGCACACAGGTTTCACTTGAGAGTAATTCTGGGCTTTTTGGGAGGCTCAGTTCAGGAACACAGACACAACTGACTCTAAAAAGAGACACAACTAGAGAGGCACTATATTCATGCAGACAGTTTACCACTGTATATAAGAATGGTTTTCTTCCAGAACTTCATAGTTGTCCCACCAAGATTCAAGCAGAGTTTCAATATGCAAACCTGAACAAGGAAAAGGAAAAAAAGTCAGGCAAGAAGAAATGACCCCAAGTGAAAATTAAAGTTTGCCAGTCACCTGAGGGGGCTCATTGTCCAGAGCCAGGTGATCAGGTACAGGCATTAGCTTCTCTACTGAATAACCATCCTGGTAAGCCAGAAAAACACTCTGGTTTTCTCCCCAGGAAATTAAGGAACACAGAGCAGCAACCAGGACATTTCAAAATGGAGAATCCTGGTGGGTTTTTTGTTGGGTTTGGGGTTGTTGGTATTTAGTGGGGTTTTTTTGTTTTGTTGGTGGGGTTTGGTTGGTTGGTTTGTTTTAATAATTGTCCCACATGGGTCAAGCTGCTCTTCCACCAATTCAACCAACTGCAGCAGAGTTGCACCAAAGAGTCATCCCACAAGGTACTCACCATGGGGCAAAAAACTAATCTCATTTTTATAAAAGCTTAAGTTCCACATCTGCTCTTCCTCCTCATTTTCCGATTCTATCAAACCCTGGAAAAGAGAAAAAGAAATCAAGCAGCAATCTCTTAAAAGACAGTATTCACTTCAATGCTTCCCCTTGCTCTCCCCTCACATTTCCCAAATGTTTCAAGCTAAATCCTTGAAGTGTTTTGGGAAGTAACAGCTTGCTTCTGATGCACCCACATGCACATCAGCCCTCCCCCACACAAATGAATCCTTTAAAGGTACCAAGCCTGACAATGTAAAGGCAAAAGGGTGACCTCAAATCTAGAAAGTGTTCTAAACTTATGTGATGAGGAAGGGCCACGAGGAGAGCATGTGCATCATCAGCTGGTGCTTACTGGGTAGTGGTGCCTGTATCTCTGCAGGTCTTTTGCTGCATTCCAGTTGCGCCTGGCTGAGAACTAGAGAAAAGAGACAGATCAGAGCTCCAGAACAACTATCTTCTACAAAAAAACAATCCCCTGATTGAATTCAGCATCTCCCACACCTTCCCCTGCCTGTCGCTCTCCTGTGCCCTCCACTCTGAGCTCCCAGCACCCCAAAAAGCAGCCAGTTTGTTACTGCAGTTGTTTCTCTGTGTTCCTGAAGACAATTTTGGATTAACAGAAGTTCACACTGTCTCTTTTAACCAAAAACATTTCTTTTTCTTTCCAGTCTTATTAATCAAAGTCTTCACTCCAGCTGGTCTTCATCCCTTCTTTATCCCTGTTGAGTTTTCCTACAGAAACAGCCAGAACTAGTTGGAAATCTCTAAGAGTTAAAATGTCATTTTCTTCCTTAACTCAAAGGCTTTATAACAAGACAAATTAAGCCTTGCCTGCCTGCCTGTCTGAGTCACTATACACCCTACTCAAGACAGAGATCAAACTCTAAAACTGTAGATTTTAAGATGCAGAAATATGCCTTAAATTGAAGATTCTCATTCCCTGTAGACATTATTGAAATAAGAGTTTTCTTCATCTTTTCTTTATGCAGCAGAGCAGCCTTGCTAATTTAGCATCATGCTGATCTAGATAGTAGGCATTAAAAGAGCCACATAGTCAGATTAGGTATTTATTTTATTGGATTTCTGTTCCAATCATCACCTTCCTTACTGCTCATCCCTCCAAGTAACCAAACTTAACTTCCACCCTACCTGAAAGGGCCTCCGAGACAGTGGTGATAAATTTGATCTTTCCTCCTACAAATAAAAGGCATTTAGTTGAAACATTTTGAAACCAAACTTCACTAATAAAAATAAACATACAGACAAAATGAGAATACCCACAGCAGCAGTGACTCATGTGATCTATTAGTTGCCAAGTGACAGATTTACCAAGTTACAGATGAATTCACTTGATGTGATTCATAATTCAAATTGCTCTAGAGAAAAACCTGTGGTGCCACGTCCACCTGACAGTTAGGTGTCAGGTTCTCCTTGCTACACATGTGCTAGACTCACTCCAAATGGAGCAATTTAGACAGAAATCACAGTGACCAGAGTCATTTCTTCCTCTGAACTTCATGGAAATAAAAGTGGCAAGCGTGACTTAATTTAAAATGCATTTTAACTGAATTATATGGGTTTTTTTTTTTTTGCAATGGATTACTTCTATGAGAGATTCACAAGCCACACAGACAGGTTTAATCTTGCTGAGTGCTGAAGCATCTTGTCCCAAGCCATGAAAGCACTTAGAGGTGTTCAGTCAAAGCAGAACCACCAAAATGAAGGTGACTGCTCAGGAATAAAAGGACCCTCCCAACGCAAAGCACTGTGCAGTCAGAGCTCACAGCAGCAGCAGGGTCTGCATGAAACAGGGAGGTGAGGTGCAGGCTCTTGCAAAATAAGCATTTTAAGAAATTCAGAAGAAAGAAGAAGCAAATTCTCTCCCAAGTGTTTTTTGTTTAACTTCATTTGATACTTCTTAACCTCATTAGCACAGAGAAAAGAGTAAGAACCAACACCACCTTCTACAGAACACCCATCACCGGTTCATTAATTATTAAGGCAGGAACTTCATTAGATTTTCTATCATTTTGTTGTAATGAAGTCATCCATTCAGCTGCCCTGTTGACTGTTAATACTTAAAATTTATGAAGCATGCACAGAACTGAGGAGATCAAACCTTTATCCATAGAGGGAGGTCATCAATGTGCAATTTTGAAAATTAAATACATTTACAAGCGTGATTCCCCTGAGCTTTGGTGGCAGGAATTAAATGAAACTCAAGTTTTTAAAATACAATAACTTTTGATGACCTCAGATGATGCCCATCTACATCATAACACGTTTCCTTTTCACACATGACAGCACAGACCAAACTATGTGGCAGAACCTCCCACAGCCACATGGGATCAGATCACATTGGGGATCAGAAATCCAAGCTCTGGTGTCTATCCCTGGAATCTCACCCAGGCTGCAGAAATGCACCACACAACAGCTTTGCTGCTCAGCTGGAAAAATTGTCAGTGGCTGCAAACACAAGACCAAGAAACACGTTCAGCCTGAACAGATGGATATTATTTGTTTGTTCAAGATGGAAGCAGAGACTGGGATTGAGCACTCTGAAATTCATCGTTGCTTCTGACCAGTACTCCTGAACTCCAAGGATGACATTCTGACAAAATTAATCAAAATTAATGAAAACTCTGTTCCAAATTACAGCAGAATCCATTTCCAGATATTCTTTAACACTTGGAAGTTCTAAAATAACATCCTTTAATACACTCAGGTGGGACTAGCCAAAACAACAGCCTGGCTCCAATTTTGACAAAGAACTGGTTTGCTGCAGAGCAAGGATGCAATGAGACAGATGCAATGCCATGGTGCAAGGTGCTGAAAGGCTTGTCTAGAAAGAAGCTCCATCCACAAGAGAGGTGTTTTGGAGCACAGCATTACAGAGAACAAGATGGGGAAGCAAAGAGAGCAGAACAGCCCTTCCTCCAAGCAGGTGTTGTTCCTGCTATAGACACCTATTTAAGCCACCCTGAAATGTGACCTCCCCTTTCTTTCCTGGTTTGAGAGACAAACTGAACTGCAAGACTGGAACTTGCCCACAAAATTCAAACAAAATCTCAGCAACAGGCAATCTAAGCAAGTTTCTCCCTCCAAACATGCAACGTGTCTGTGCAAAGAGTGTGAGGAAAGCAGAGAACCAAGCCAGGAGAAGGCAACGTGAACAATATTTGGCTGAAAACTGGAAATCAAAAGGGATGAAAGAACATGAGCTGCAAGAAGGCAGAACTACAGGGCTTGTTGTTAGAACACAGCTCTGAGCAGTGGAACATGAACATTAAGAGGGAACCTTTTTAAAAATGAACACAAACACCAAGATTTTCAATGCTCGCTCTTAAAAGCTAAAAGCACCAAAATGGAAAAGAGCTGAAAAGACAGCAGGA